CAGTTTCCCCCACTACACACAGCCCCAACTGTCGGCAGCAACAGAGCAAGCAGCCGGCCGGGGTACTCATGGCCCACGCAGATGCTGCCACCCAGCGGCAGCTGGCTCTAGCCAGTGTTGGGAGCTGCATGCAATAGCAAGAAGTGTAGCCAGGCTGGCCTGTCTCAATCGCATGGGGCTCCCGTGACTCCCAACACTGCAGCTCCCAACACTCATGCACCATCAAGAAGCCCAGAGTGATGGAGCCAGCTGTCTTCCCCGTTCCCTGACACCATGTGCAGCTCCTGGGACTCCGGCATAAGTGAAGAGGAGCCCCACCCCCTGCAAGTGGTGACAGAAAGCAGGGGCCAGGCTGCCAGCTCCATCACATGGGTGTAACAGCCAGAACCAGAGGAATTAATAAGCAATAAATATGTGATTCTTGGAGGCATTTGGTATTTTGCCTAAACAGGTAATATTAGTTAACATAAAGCTTGTAAGTTTGCAAACTGCAAATGTAATTTGTCCCTCATAAGTTTAACCAAAATGATAAATTTACTGTTCATGGAACTGACTGGGCCCCATAGGCAAAGCTGTAGCTGTGAGATTAGCTGACCTAATGGTTTCTGCTCAGGGTTCAGCTTTAGCGATAAAAAAACTGGATTCAACTGCCTGGCACACCCAACACATTCCAGGAAAAAATGTCCCAAGAAAGCATATTCAAATGAAACCTAAAAAGGGTTGGGGCATAGGTGGGGCAATGTCAATTTCAAGGTGCTGCATCATAATTTGCTTAATGGATAAACCGAAGTCTGGGTAGTAACCTTTTATGATAATTTTTAACACCTTTCAATCCCATAGGGTAAAAGCTATAGGGCAACATTGTGAGTGGCTCTAAGGTCAACAGATTAACATAACACTAGGTATAAAAAGCACATGCATCAGGTAACCAGCAGGAAAGAGGGAACAGAACCGTCATTTCTGCTCCACACCCAAACCCCAGACTCCTGGTGTGAGGATCGGATCCTGATCAAGGGACCTTCCCCAGCAACCCTCTGACAGCGCTGACTGGGGACGTCTGAATTTGCTGGAATCGCTTGACGCGTACCTGGCATTGAGGGACTATCGATAAGTTACCAACCCATGTCTGTCTATCTGTTGTTTTGAACAGTCCAGTGGCTAATACCCTCGCAGTGCACAGTTGGCCTGTGACAGAATTGATCTATCTATTATCATCTGTTATTATTTTTTACTATTAGCTCTTTAATACCACATTATCTGCTTATTGCATTTATCGGTCTGTTAACTGTTGGGTGTAAGCTACAATAAATTTGCCTTTATTTCACTCCCAACTTCGCCTCCTCAATCCAAAACTGAACCAAACAGCCCAACTGGCCTATGATAAAATTGATATACTCACAGTGCCCAGCTGGCCTGTGACACATGGGGCTTTCCCCCAAAAGTGGCATGCAAGTGCCAGGAAATGCATGAGTCGCAGGGAGCCCCACATGATAGGAGGTGGGCTGGCTTTGCCACCGCCACATGCAGCACCCAGAACTGGATGGAGCCACGCACTGCCAGGCACCAGTACCTGCACAGGCCACAAACACCTCGAGGGCCAGCAGGCTGCTGTTGCTCCCACCGCCAGCAACAGAAACTATGTGCCATGGAGAACAGGGGAAGTGTGTGGGGGGATCCCCACACTCCCCCACTCTCCCTCACACCCCACACATGCACAGTTCTGCGATCCCACCATCCCCCTGGGCGCTGGCTTTGTGCTCTTGCCAACCCCAGCCCGAAGCTCCTGCACAGCTGCAGCACCCCAGCACTTCATTACCTCCTGCCCAGACTGAGCACCACAGCAGAGACAGGAGGAGGAGCTTCTAGAGGCCAGAGAAGCCAAGCAGGTCCCTCAGCAGCTGCAACAGTGGCACCAGCAGCCCCATCCAGAGGCTGTGTACTGGCCAGGCCCTCCCGTGCATGAAGGTAGGAGTTAGGCGTGTAGGCTGGGCAGGGTATAATTAACTGGTGGATGCACGTGGACCAGACAAAATTACCTGGTGGGCTGAATATGGTCTGCAGGCCATATTTTGCCCACCCCTGATTTCTGTAGAATCATAAAATCAATGAATCGGAAGGGACCTAGACAGATCATCTAGTCTGACCCCCTGCCATGGGCAGGAAGGAGCACTGGGGGTGCGAGGAGTCAAAAGACCCCAGCCAGGTGCCTATCCAGTCTCGTCTTGAAGATTTCCAGGGAAGGTGAGAGCACCACCTCTCTGAGAAGCCTATTCCAGGCTCTGGCCACCCTTACCGTGAAGTAGTTCTTCCTAATATCTAACCTAAACCTATCCTCCCTCAGCATTGTTCCTGGTGACTCCAAGGGGGGCCCTGGTGAACAGACTTTCCCCGAGTCCCTGCTGGTGGCCCCTGATAAAGTTGTAGGC